TTTTTTTACAACTGAAAGCAAGGCTGTGAGGAATAGAAGTACAATTCAATAGGTTGTACTCTTGTGTCTCTCATTTAGCCAAATCTGGAAAACATATGGTTGTGAAAATTACATTAGGACTGTAAATCCATCCCTCACGGCCTTGTTTTCTTTGGGTGTACCCTAAGGTCCATTCCTCCTTTGTCTTCTCTTTCTTTTTTCTTTCTTCCTCCCTCTGTTTCTCTATCCTGGGAGTATGAAGTATCCTGTATACCTCCCACCCCCTCCATCTAGAGTCGACTCCCTGCGAACAGGATAAATAATTCAGTCTCCTCCTTGTTCTTGGAGATGGGCCTCCACTCCTAGCCCTCACCCCACCCTCCATCAATAGCACATTAATATTGTAGAGCCTCCCGCCACACAGCACCCTCACAAACACATATACAAACGCACACTGACTGTGCAGAAACCAAAACGATGTGCGCCCACAAAACACAGCGAAACCTACACATATCAACTCTCAAAGACACTTCCGCTTCCTTTCTCCAGGAAAAAACACACGCTGCATATTAGAGCGCTACGGTTGTACAACATCTTCCTACAATGGTAAAGACACTCAATTAGCTGTAAAAACACATGCGCACACACACACCCAAATACGGCCTATCCCTCATCCGTTCAGCACCGACATGTTGCAACAGAGCCCTAAAAGTTGGCGAGAGTCTCTCGGGGAGCTTCCCACAGGCCTTGACCACAGATGTGGTATCGGGTTTCGTCTCTAGACACGCAGCCACAAGGCTCTAATGGTTTGTATGTCAGGACGCAGGCACGATACTGCCCTCGTTTGGGTTGTTGTGGTCACTTTCCTTCCTGACCAGACTTTCACTTGAGAAGCGTCTAAGTGCAGCCGCACGAGGTCTGACTTTCCTGATGCTCTCCTGTGTGTTCGTCGAAACACCACAAGAGTGTATGTGTGTGCACGTTTATAAGTCAGAACGTGAGCAGACTGTGTTGATGAACAGAAGGAGAGATGTCAAATGTACATATTTGATGTCGTCTTGCGTTGGCTTCTGCTCTCCGTGCATCTGTCTGTCCATTCCATCTGCTATAGCCTGGCCTGCTGCACTCATTCATTCTGGTCTTTACAATGCTCTCGCTTTCTTCTTAAATAAAGCAACATGTTGCTAATGAAGTCTTTTTTCTTTTCTTTTTCTTCTTTTAGCCTTTTATGTCTCCACGGTACCCTGGTGGACCTCGGCCATCTCTTCGCATGCCAAATCAGGTAGAGGGAACATCATCACACTGTCATGTTGAAATTGCATACAAATAGTTCTTCCATTTTTACACACTCTTAAAGGTATAGTACACCCAAAAATGAACATTTTGTCATCATTTACTCACCCTCATGTTGTTCCAAACTTGTATGAGTTTCTTTCTTATGCTGAACGTAAAATAAGATATTTCTGGTAATCAAACTATTGATGGTCCCCATTGACTTCTATAGTATTTCTGTCTTATTTCATCCTACTATGGATGTCAACGACAGTTTGTTTCTTCAAAATTCATTAAAATATCTTCTGTTTTCAACATTAGAAAGAAACGTACACAGGTTTGGAACGAAGTGAGGGTGAGTAAATGTTGACAAAATTTTCATTTTTGGGTGAACTATTCCTTTAAGGGTCACCAAAATCAAGAAAACCTGGAAATATCAGGATATTTTAATAAAGGTCATGGAATTTCATTCTGATTAATTTTTGTTGTTGTTGTTATGCATGGCTCTAAAATATTTGATTTGCTAGAAATTGAAATTTGTGAGCGTAATCTAGCGTGAAATAAAATATAAATAGATAAAAAACTGAATTGAAAATTAGAAATGTTGGCAAATATGGCAACTAACTGAAATTTAAAAGTTGAAGTACTAAAATAGAAATACTAAAGCTAAATAAAAATAATAAAGCTGCATACATAGGCATGTGACTGACATTCATACATGCCTATGATGCCCCAAAATGCTAATCTAAAATGATTTTATTTGCAAATCACATGTTGTATGTGTGTAAATAGATTTGTTTGCATTCTATTTACATTAATTTTATTCATTATAAATGTAAATTATTTCTGACTGTTACATCAAAGCCAGCGTGTGATATTTCTGGTCTATGGTGTTCTAATATAAAGTCATTGTTATCACCAAAGTACTGTAGCAATACTTGATATTATGTGTAAAGATTTTCAAGGCATGTTGTGTAAAAGGTTATGGAATTTATATTTTTATACCAATGGACTGCCACTGAAAATAAAGGACAAAAGGAATTTGTTCCTTTGTTCCATTTGTTTCCATTTGTTCCTCACCTCCATTGTAAACATGATGCATGTTTTCTATAAAACACGTCTCATGTATTTCACTGACCTTCCTTCTTTTATGTCCTCCTCAGCCTCCTGTAGGAGTTCCAGGATCACAACCACTCCTGCCAAACAGTTTGGACCCAACCAGACCACAAGGTAACATCTTGGTCCAAAATTTAATAACAACAGAGCCATTTACATGCAGACTGATGAATGATGTAGTATCAGCTCAGCTGTGTAATAACTCTATCTAATATTTTTACAGGACATCCTAACATGGGCGGTCCGATGAGAATGAATCCTCCCAGGGGGATGGGTGGCATGGGCCCTCAGGTAGACACATATTCTTGCTCGTTTATCCTCTGGTAGTCGTCCCAAGTCAAACGCCACAGGACTGGAACCCTGTTACTCCTCTTCAGTCACCTGTGCTGAAAGCAGAGTTCTCTCCGCTTCTCTATCTCTCTCTTTGTCCTTCTCGTTCATGGCAAGCGAGGTGCCGCACAAATCGGCAGCTGGTGCAGCATCTGTTCGACAAATTGGGTAGAGCGCAGAACAAAAGCTCGGCTTAGAAAGAAGCAGCCTCAGGCCTGAAAGCCTCTGTCACACTTTGCCCTCCACCCACAGGCAGCCAGACAGGTGGGCCGCTGTCTGCCTGAGCAGAACTTCGTTAGCATAGTGTCAATCGCATCCCCACCGCTGCGGACAACAGTGGATGAAGGGCAGGGATTCCTGCAGTGTGTAGTTGCTGCATTTTTAGCCACACAACAGAAGAAAAAAAATCATATTTTTTCCCCCAATTGTGAACTTAATAGCACAAAATAATGCCAAGATGACACATCTTTTCAATTCAATGTGCAATTATTTATTTATTTTAATACATTTATTATTATTATACATTTTTTAAAATATTTTTTAATTTACATTTATATATTTAATACATATTTATATAATATGTTAAAGAGCAGGTCATATGGTATTTTAAAGTGTCCCTAATATTGTGTTGGAGATATATATATATATATATATATATATATATACATATAATAGTTTATATATATAAATATATGTGTGTGTGTGTTTTAATAATTTTAATAAATATATTTGTATATAATTACATATACCATTATAATTATTTGAAAAGGTTTTGTTCATTTTAATTTTAAAAACAATTTATTTACATTTATTTATTGTAATCCATATATTAGTAAATAATATAATTCTTATATATGCAGTTATAATTATAATTTTATTTAATTAAGTAATTTATTTATTTATAAACACAGTGATAAAGGTTTATACTGGATTCCAGATTTTAATGGTTCCATTAAAAACGATTGTTGAAATGTTTGTGTTTTTGTTTTCTTTGTCCACTGTAGAACTATGGTGGTATGAGGCCTCCTCCCAACTCTCTAGGTGGTCCAGGCATGCCCGGAATGAACATGTGAGTCCTTCAACATGAAAACACGCCCTTTCCCCATTTATTTAATCCTGTTAAATCATGTTTGTTAACTTCCTTATGTCTCTGTTCTGTATTTCTATCCTTTTTGGTCCTCCCTTCACGTTACAGGGGTCCTGGAGGACGTGGCCCATGGCCAAACCCGAATGCTAACTCGGTACGTTCATACATATGCTGTTGTCTGCATGTAGCTTTGTGGCTGCAGACAAAAACGTGACATGCATTATTGCTACGCTGACCACACAAACGTAATATGGTTGCACCATGATACAGCAATGTTTCAGATTATATATGAAAGATTATCATATTCATAAATCATAGTATTATTATTATTAAGTGGTGTAGTTTAATTCTCATCCAAGTAAATGTATTCATATTCTTTTGTTTGTGTTGACAGATAGCATACTCCTCCTCATCTCCAGGCAACTACGTGGTGAGTACCAAACTTTAGTTTACTTTCTGTAGTATATATTAATTGTCTTAATGCATGAAAAACAGAAACAATTTCCAAGCTATCTTCATAATATTTCATCAACTTTACCTGAAACTACTTTCATTTTTGGATGATGTGACATGCAGGGTATTGGTTAATGTTAACAAATAGCTATTTCAGCATTATTTTATGCTACTCTTATAGAAAATGAAGCCTTTCCAAAATATTGGCAGTAGTTTTAACACAGTAATGTAGTTTTGTTAATGGATCAGAGGTTACGGTAATATGCTCTCAAGGGTGATCTTGACTTTCAACATCAGCGTCCCAATCAAAAATCTCCTCAAAAGTGTGTGCCAGGCATGTTTTAGGAGAAAAACAGTCTTCTTAAAATAAAATAGTTTGCGAATGCACTTTCAAATTGACCACTGCAGAGATTTTTAGCTTTTTGCCTCGCCGTCTTTAGTTCAAAGGAAAACTGCAAAATTTAGTCTTTCCTTTTAGAAACTAAAAGCATAACTAAGCAGATGTTAAAGTTTCTAAATGTATTGATTTTACTTGAGCAATTACTATCCTGCTTAGTTTTGCCGCTAGCATTGCCTCTCTTAAAAGTAAAATATCTGCACATTAGTCAAAGCAGCTCGATGGCTCCCCTGTGCCTAGTTTGTCTTTGTTTAAAAACTGCTCCTCTGGTAGTTCTCTGATAGTACGGCAGGTACTATTACACTCTGAGAAGCTAAACACGGGTTTGTGTGCCTGTTTCCTCCCTCAGGGTCCTCCAGGAGGAGGTGGTCCACCAGGAACTCCCATAATGCCAAGCCCAGGAGGTACAGTAGATCTGTTCTGTCGCTCTCCCTTTTGCATATCATTCACACACTCGCTCTCACCTCGCCTCTATAATCGGCACAGCCGGAAACAGTTCGTGTCTCTCCAGGAAAGAAAGATGCTCAGCACTTCACAAACACCCTATTTAACACCCTCCTCCCTCCTTCCCTACCCAGTAGCCAATATCACTGCAAGGTTACCTGCATTTCCTCTGGCAGGTGCCAAGCCCAGGAGGTACAGTAGATCTGTTCTGTCGCTCTCCCTTTTGCATATCATTCACACACTCGCTCTCACCTCGCCTCTATAATCGGCACAGCCGGAAACAGTTCGTGTCTCTCCAGGAAAGAAAGATGCTCAGCACTTCACAAACACCCTATTTAACACCCTCTTCCCTCCTTCCCTACCCAGTAGCCAATATCACTGCAAGGTTACCTGCATTTCCTCTGGCAGGAAAACAAAACATGTGATCAGCTCCACCCCTCCCACTTTGTTAATGTAATTCCAGTCGGCATGCTTGTGTTTGTGATGTTGAAGCAGAGTTTATAGGTGTGAGCGGTGTCTCCCTCTCTCCCTCGCTCACACAAGCCATAAATCATTAAAGAAACACATTTATTATGGTGATTAATCTCGTCCAGCCATGTTCTGTATTGATCTAGTGTGCTGCTAAAGCATTGGTCATCCATATATGCTTGGAAGCGACTCTTGGTCTCTTATTTTGGTGAAGTTGTGCTGGTCTCAGAAGCAAACTTTCTGCTCTCTTCTCATCTAGACTCCACAAACTCCAGTGAAAATATCTATACGATGATGAACCCTATTGGACCAGGAGGAAACAGACCCAGTGTATGTATTACCCCCATCTAGATATGCATTTACTAGAGTAGTTATACTACCGTTCAAAAGTTTGGGGTCGGTAAGATTTTTTAAAATGTTTTTAAAACAGTTGCTTGATTTGGTGCTCAAGAAACATTTCTTATTATTGTCAATAGTTGGTTGATAGTTGCTGGTTGATAGATTCATTGATTAATACAAAATAACAGCATTTTATTTAAAATGTAAACCTTATGTAACATTACATTTGCCTTTACCTTCAATAACTCCAAATATTTGAACACTAGTGTAAATATCTCTCCACTTAATGATTTTTTTTTATATTTGTGATGTATTTCCAAAACCACAGCTACACTTTTTGATTCCCAAACATACTACATTTGATTATTTTACAGCTCTTTGGAATACTTGATTCTTATTGGTCAGTTGTGGCATTTAGCAGCCAAATGTTTGTGCATCCTGATTGCTAAACTGCAGAATTGATTGTTGTTTGATTGCCTTCATACTGTAGCTATGCTAGTTTCTTGTGTGCTAGTGCTCATATCACTCCATGGTCTCTTGCTTCTTACATAATACTACGATTTGAACTCAAATCAATATTTAATGTCCAATTATTTATTTACTTGCTTAAGTAGTCATGTAATAAGCTTGATAATGTACAGTCATTCAGTCATTATCGCAAAATAACCCCTTCAGTGTGATTTAAGACCTGTCTGGATTTATTTGTAATAATAAGCGCCTGACTGTACATTACGCTTTATTTATATTAATCCTAAATGTCACATTATGATCATTGTTTTCATAAAAACACAGCTATGCTTTTAGTGAAATCAAAGGGGACATGCTCATCCTTTTTAAATTAATGTTTATATCTCAGAAGAAGTCTTATGTTACTCAGGGTACTGGATGCGGGATGGTTGGTTGAACTTGATTGTTTCTCTGTGTTTCTCAGTTCCCCATGGGTCCCGGTCCAGATGGCCCAATGGGCGGCATGGGCGGCATGGAACCCCATCATATGAACGGATCGTTAGGTAAGCTTTAAGACTGCACTGTTATTCAAAATAATACCGATATACTACTTTAAAAAAATCTCAAAAGGTGTTTATTTAATAGTATTAATATATACTTTTTTTTTTTTTTTCAGGCTCTGGTGACATGGATGGGTTGCCAAAGGTAAAGAAGGTTTTTAGTGCCTGTTTACACCTGGTCATTTCAGGCGTTTTTGCTGATCGGATATCTATCTGATTTGTTAAAACGTTTCCATCCAGTCATCGCAAAACGGATATAAATCCGATCTTCAATTCCCACGCTATATTTAAAGGGTTAGTTCACCCAAAAATGAAAATTCTGTCATTAATTACTCACCCTCATGTCGTTCTAAACCCGTAAGACCTTACGTTCATCTTCGGAACACAAATTAAGATATTTTTGATGAATTCCGAGAGCTCTCTGACCCTCCCATAGACAGCAATGTAATTACCACTGAACGTAAACAGCGTATGCTATTCTGTGTGACGCAGCTGACACAGAATAGCATACGCTGTTTACGTTCAGTGGATATTCTCGTTCAGTGGATATGCATACAAAAAGTATTCTCGTAGCTTCGTAAAATTACGGTTGAACCCCTGATGTCATGTGGATTATTTTACCGATCTCCTTGCTATGCTTCTGGACCTTGATCGTGGTAATTACATTGCTGTCTATGGAGGGTCAGAGAGCTCTCAGATTCCATCAAAAATATCTTAATTTGTGTTCTGAAGATGAACAGAGGTTTTACGGGTTTAGAACGACATGAGATGACAGAATTTTCATTTTTGGGTGAACTAACCCTTTAAATTTACGTCAACGAAATCAAAAGATAATGTCACATAGCCTATAACATGCTCTCACACATTCATTATTTTAACATTTTGGGAGGAGTAAAATTTACATATGTGGTTTCAACAACCAGATGCATGCACAGATTGTGAATCTGTGTTTTTTTTTCTTTGCTGTTTTCACATCTCAACCTGAACTGTTTTTGTCAAACGGCTCTTTTGCTTCAGAACTCCCCCAACAACATGGCAGGGATGAACAACCCACCGGGCACACCGCGGGATGATGGAGAAATGGGAGGAAACTTCCTCAACCCATTCCAAAGTGAAAGTGTGAGTAGATTCTGACCCAAACCCAGAGACCTGCCACTTTCCTCACCTGCCAATCATATACACTACGGTCCAAAAGTTTGGAGTCAGTTAAGATTGAAAAAACAAAACAAGTTAAATTAGTACTTTTATTCAGCAAATATATTTATCAAAAGTAACAGTAAAAACAGTTACAAATTTAGTTACATCATTCCAAACCCGTTAGACCTTCGTTCATCTTCGGAAAACACATATTAAGATATTTTTGATGAAATGTGAGAGCTCTCAGACCCTGTATAGACAGCGACGCAACTGTAATGTTCCCAGGTCCAGAAACGTAGTAAGGACATCGGTAAAACAGTCCATGTGACAGTGGCTCAACTTCAGTTTTGCGAAGCTACGAGAATACTTTTTGAGCGCAAAGAAAACAAAAATAAAAATTCTCAACAATTCTTCGCCCCCGAGTTACTTCCGCCATTTTAGAGAGTATCACAACACATATGCATGCTTTCCCCTAAGCGTGAACAACGCTGATTACGCAGATTACGTTCATGCGCGCGCTTTCTCCCCCGAACGTAAACAAACGCTGATTACGTCGATTACGCTCTTGGGTACTCTCCAAAATGGCGGAAGACGCAACTCAGGGGAGAAGAACTGTGAAATAAATTGTTATTTTTTGTTTTCTTTGCGCTCAAAAAGTATTCTCGTAGCTTCGCAAAACTGAAGTTGAGCCACTGATGTCACATGGACTGTTTTACCGATGTCCTTACTACGTTTCTGGACCTGGGAACATTACAGTTGCGTTGCTGTCTATGCAGGGTCTGAGAGCTCTCGCGTTTCATCAAAAATATCTTAATTTGTGCTCCGAAGATGAACGAAGGTCTTACGGGTTTGAAACGACATGAGGGTGAGTAATTAATGACAGAATTTTCATTTTGGGGTGAACTAACCCTTTAAAATACATAAAAGATAGAAGTTATTTTAAATTGTTACAATATTTCAAAATATCAATATTTGTATTGTTTTTAAGATCAAATAAACACAGCCTTGGTGAGCACAAGAAACATCTTTCAAAAACATTTTAAAATCTTACCGACCCCAAACTTTTTACCATTAGTGTAGCTCCGCCCAGCATGCACTCAGAAGGCCACATCCACTGACCATGTTACTTACAGACCAGAATATCAAATCAATTAAAAAAATAAAAATAAAACTCTGAAAATGATTTGATTTGTAAGTGTTATTGATTCAGTCCTAGAGTGAGTGCTGGAAATGGCTTTTGTTATAAAAGACCAGCAGTTTCCTGGACAGACACTTTCCAAGTTTTTTGTCCTTTGGTTACGGCTTTGTCGACAAAATCATGCATTTTCTTGCTGCATTTTGGGACGGTGATGACATAACCATCTTGTATTTGCTCTGTGTAGAGTTCTCATGATCTCACCTCCGCTAT